GCTCTACCACTTGAGCCACAGCGCCACTTCCGGCTTTTTTCTTTTTGCTTATGTGGTGCTGAGGAATCAAACCCAGGGCCTCAGGCATGCAAGGCACGCGCTCTACCACTGAGCCATCTTCCCAGCCCTGCCCCTTATTTTTTTATTTTATTTATTTTTTTTCTGGTTCTGGGCCTTGAACTCAGGGCCTGGGCACTGTCCCTGAGCTTCATTTGTTCCAGGCTAGCGCTCTGCCACATGAGCTGAGCCACAGCACCACTTCTGGCTTTTTCTGTGTATGTGGTACTAAGGAATCGAACCCAGGGCTTCATGCATGCTAGGCAAGCACTCTACCACTAAGCCACAGTACCAGCCCCCCATTAGTTTTTTTTTTTTTAATTCAAAGCTTGCACTCTATCACTTGAGCTACAGCTCCATTCCCAGCTTTTTGCTGGTTCATTGGAAATAATAAGAGTCTCATGGATTTCCCTTCCCTGGGCTGGCTTTAAACCACAATCCTTGTATCTCAACCTTCTGAGTAGCTGGGATTATAAGCATGAGCACCAGCACCCAACAGAGAAAGGTAGTTTTCCAAGATGGCGCACTGGCATTCTCTTTCTTGCACACGGGTGTCTGCCCCTGCCCCTCTCCGGCATGGGCCAGCTTGGTGGGGGGACTGTTGTCGGGTCCAGGAAGCCTGAGGTGAAGCATTTGCTGTGGCAGAACCTCATTCTCTTCCAAGTCCCCGCCCTGTAACGGTCCTGGCCCTGCCACAGCTTCCGGCCCTCCCTTCCCTGCCACGGCTGGCTGCGTCAGGCTGCCCTATGGCTCCTGCGTGGGCCCTCAACACACTTCCTCCTAGTCCTGCCCAACAGCAAAAACTGACAGTGTGGGGCCTTGAACCTGCCCTGGGGTGGCCTTGTCCCTACACTTATAGAGAAAGGGCAGGGCTGTGTTTCAGGTCAGAGAGACCCAATGAGGCAGGGGAAGGGGGTGGAGCCAGACTCCAAACTGAGGTTCAAGGGCTTGTGGCATGAGGCCCTCCCACCTCTCCTTCCCTTCCTCCCTTCTTTCCTATATATTTTTTGTGCTGGTACTGAGACTTGAACTCAGGGCCTGGGTACTATCCTTGACAGGCTGGCGCTCTGTCAACTTCTGCCTTTTTTGGTGGTTCGTTGGAGATGAGAGTCTCACAGACTTTCCTGCCTGAGCTGGCCTTGAACCGTGATCCTCAGATCTCAGCCTCTTGAGTAGCTGGGGTGACAGAGGCGTGAGCTGCCAGCGCTCTGCAGCCCTCCCCCCTCCTTTCTTCTCCTCTCCCTTCCTGGCTGACCCCTCCGTGCTTCCCCTGCTCTGTCAAGCTCAGCTCTGGCCCTGAACTTGGTGTTCCTGAACCTAGAGCCGCCTCTCTCTCTCTCTCTCCCTTTCTCTCTCTCTCTCTCTCTGCCAACTTTGTTCTTTGTCCTCACTTGGCTTGGGGAGCCTCGCCCCACGGAGGCCTCTGCAGACTCTGTAGCTGAAGGAGCCATCTCTGTTTCCGGTTGTCTGCCTCTTCACACTTGAACATTTAGGAGAATCTCTTGGGCCCAAGACTCTGATAGAGAAGCTGAACAGGGGGCCCGGGGTGGGGGGTGGGAGGGTGCTCCAAAAACCTGCATTTCTTCAGTTTGTTCCTTCGTGGATTCATCTGTTTTTTTGCTCTGCTGTGGATGGCTGGAAGCCAGGATCTTTTGCTTGCTGGTCAGCACTCTGTTATATTTCCAGTGCTTGTTTTGTGGTGTGTGTGTGTGTACATGCACCCCAGTATTAGGACTTAAACTCAGGGTACAGGCACTGTCCCTTAGCTTTCTTCCCTCCTCCCCTTTTTTTATTTTTTGCTCAAGGCTGGTGCTCTACTGCTTGAGCCACATTGCCACTTCTGGCTTTTTGCTGGTTCATTGGAGATAGAGTCTCATGGGTTTTTCTGTCTGGGCTGGCTTCAAACGGCAATCCTCAGATCTCAGCCTCCTCAGTAGCTGGGATTACAGGCGTGAGCTCCAAAGCCTGGCCGCACTCCCTTCTCTTGAATGGAGATGGGAACCGTAGGGATTGCTCAGGGTTGTTTACGGAATAATAGCATTAATCACACGGGACTTGACAGAGGTGCTGATAAGGAGTCAGCTAGGTCTCCTTCAAATTCCCTAGTCTCACCCCGCAGCCCTTAGGACACTTGTGTTTGCTCAGTTATCTCTGAGTGTTCTGTTTGTTTAACGTCTGCCTGGGTGCTCTCTGAGGGAAGGTGCCTTATCTGATGGTCTCTGCTCCTGCCAGCTGCAGCTGGCACCGCCATTCGTTCAGTTGCTCATGTGTATTATATAGATTTGGGCTGAGGCCACCCTCGATACTCAGGAGACTGAGATCTGAGGATCACGGTTCCAAGTCAGCCGAGGCAGAAAGGTCTATGAGACTCTTAGCCCCAGTGAACCACCACAAAGCCAGACGTGGTGGTGTGGCTCACAAAACCATAGGCGCCACCCCGCAAAAAAAAAAATAACATAAATATATATGTGTGTGTGTGTGTATATATATATATATATGGAGGGAGGGGGTGAGGGGTTTTTAGGTTAAGTAACTGGGACTGGGGAATGTAGCTCAGTGGCAAAGCACTTGCCTAGCAAGTGAAATGTCCTGGGTTCAGTTCCTCAGTACCGAAAAAGAAAAGACAGAAAAAAAAAAAACCTACAATTAGCTTGAGTAATTGAGTTAGAAAGTCATTCTTTTATAGATGTATGTTGTATAAGTGAATTAGGCTTTCTTTTCCTTTTCTTTTCTTTTTGGTTGGTCATGGGGCTTGAACTCTGGGCCTGGGCTCTGTCCCTGAGCTCTTCAGCTCAAGGCGAGTGCTCTACCACTTGAACCACAGCACCACTTGTGGTTTTCTAGTGGTTTATTGGAGATCAGAATCTCATGGTCTTTTCTGCCCAGGCTGGCTTTGAACCATGAACCTCAGATCTCAGCTTCCTGAGTAGCTAGGTGCCTGGCCAGCAAGTTATTTTTTTAAGAAGCAAATGGCATCTGTGTTGATTTGTGCCCCATGAGGACCTGGGCTTGTCATGCTCTGGTGCAGCCTGAAGTGACAGTGACACTGATGCATTAAGGAAGCTGCTCTGGGGTTGCAGTGTAAGGATGTGAAGTAGGGCGGACGGACACGGGAGGAAGGGCTGGCTGGCTGGATGGAGGGTGGGTGGATGGATGAGTGAGTGGATAGATGGGTGGATGGATAGATTGGTGAGTTGGTAAGTGGATGGATGGATTCATGCGTGCATGCATGAATGGGTGGATGGATGGATGGATGGGTGGGTGGATGAATAGCTGCATGAATGAGTGGATGGACGGATGGATTGATGAGTGGATAGATGGATATATACATGAATGGATGCATGGATGGATGGACAGATGGATTGATGAGTGGATAGATGGATGTATACATGAATGGATGGACGGATGGATGAATGGATGGACTGGTGAGTGGATAGCTGGATGCATAAGTGGATGGTTAGATGTATGGGTGAGTGAATGGATGAATAAATAGGTAGATGGATGGGTGGGTGGATGGATGAATGAATAGGTAGATGAGTGGGTGGTGAGTGCATAGGTGGATGGATGGATAGGTAGGTAGATTAGTTCATGCATGGGTGGATGGATGGATGGATGGATGAGTAGGTAGATAGATGAATGGATGGGTAGTGGGTGGATGGATGCATGAATGAATGAGTAGATAAGTGGATGAGTGAGTGGTTATGTGGATAATGAATGAATGGATTATGAATGGATGGATGGTGGTGGATGGATGGATGGATGATGGATAGTAGATGGATGAAGATGGATGGTGGTGGATGGATGCATAGTGGATGGTTGAGTGAATGGATGAATAGGTAGCTGGGGAATCCATGGGCTGATTGATGGGTGAGCCTGAGCCCACCCACCCCCAAACCTGTTCCCCCTCTAACCCTCTTCCTCCCCTGCCCACAGCACCACGCCCCACTCTGGTCGGAGCACCCCAAACAGCTCCCCATCTCTCCGGAAGCGGCTGCAGCTTTTGCCCCCAGGCCGGCCCCCTGTGGAGCCAGAAGCAGGCAGCATGGTGGAGAAAGGGTCAGATAGCTCCTCAGAGAAGAGTGGGGTGCCTGGAACCCCCAGCACCCAGAGCCTGGGAGGCCGGAACTTCATCCGCAACAGCAAGGTGTGTGTGGGATCCAGCTGGGGGTGCGCAGCTGGCCGGGAGCGGGGGGCGCTTGGCTCATCCTGACCCCCCTTCTTTTTCTTGCAGAAGATGCAGAGCTGGTACAGTGTGAGTATTTGGGCAGAAGTGGGTGTCAGAGGGTGTGGAGCAAGGGATCACATGCTGGGTGGGAGCCCTGGACTACAGGAGTCAGCAGCAGAGCGGGCATAGAGGTCCGCAGACCAGGGTTAATCATACCATGGACCTTCTTATCCGGGCTGGCTTCAAACCACGATCCTCAGATCTCAGCCTCCAGAGTTGTTGGGATTACAGGTGTGAGCCACCAGCACCCGGCTCTGGGACTGGATTGGGGTTCAGACTTTACTTCCCTTAGATGCTCAGCCCCACGTATAAACAACGCAATGAAGATTTCCGGAAACTGTTCAGCAAACTTCCTGAAGCGGAGCGTCTCATTGTGGGTGAGAACCGGGGTACCCCAGGACCAGCCCACCTGCCTGTGGGTGACCCTCCGATGCCCCTGCCTGACGCCCTCTCCCTTCTCCTTGCTCTCAGATTACTCCTGCGCTCTGCAGCGCGAGATCCTGCTGCAGGGCCGCCTCTACCTCTCTGAGAACTGGATCTGTTTCTATAGTAACATCTTCCGCTGGGAGACCACGGTGAGCCTGGGTGGTCTGGGACTAGGAGAGGGTGCCTGGGGATGGGGCATGAGGGTGTGGGGTGGGGTTCCTAGAACTCTTGGCTGCTTTTGATCTCCTGGCTGCAGATTTCCATCCAGTTGAAAGAAGTGACTTGTCTCAAGAAGGAAAAAACAGCGAAGCTGATCCCCAACGCCATCCAAATCTGTACAGAAAGTGAGAAGGTGAGCCCCGAGGCCCCGGTGGGCCCCCCCACTTCCCCTCTCACCTCTGGCCACCTCTTTTATTCTTCCAACCCCTGGCAGGGCCCCGGCCCCCATCACCTCTGACCTGAATCTCTCTGTGGGAGAGACTCCAGCCTTCTTGGCCCCTACAAGAAGTAACCCCCTCCCCCTCCCCAGCAAGCATCAAAATCACCCAGGTGACAGTGGCTCACGCCTGTAATCCCACTTACTCAGAAGGCTGAGATCAAGAGGATCACGGTTCAAAGCCAATCCAGGCAGGAAAGTCCATGAGAATCAAACTATTCAGAAATAGCTGAAAGTGCCACCGTGGCTCAAGTGGCAGAGTACCAGCCTTGAAGAAGCAAAAGAAGCTCAGGGACTGTGCCCAGGCTCTGAGTTCAAGCCCCAGGCTCAGGAAGAAACAAACAAACAAAAAATAACATTAGGATCAGGGGATCGTAATGGCTGGAAAAATCATTCCTGTCCATCGATCCAGCCCCCCAGACCTCCCCGCCCCGCAGCAGCTCCCCACCCTCCATCCCCCATGTTCCCTCCTCTTGATTTTCCCTCCCATCCCCTTCCCACTTCTTTCTACAGTGCTGGAATCAAACCCAGGGTCTTGTACATGCAAGGCAAGTGCTCTCCCACGGAGCAACTTGATTTTAGTTAGTTGGTTATTTAGTTGGTCCTGGGGCTTGAAATCAGGGCCTGTGTGCTATTCCTGAGCTATTTCCACTCAAGGCTAACGCTCTACCCCATTGAGCCATAGCCCCACTTCCAGTTTTTGAGTGGTTCATTGGAGATAAAGAGTTTCACAGAGACACTTTTGCCGGGGCTGGCTTTGAACCATGATCTTCAGATGTCAGCCTCCTGAGTAGCTAGGATGATGACAGCCATGAGCCACTAGCACCCAGCTGCAACTTGATCTTTTGAGACAAGATCTAGATCTATGTAGCCTAGCCTGGCCTCCAGCTTGACATCCTCCTGCCTCAGCCTCCCAAATGCTGGTATTATAGGCATGCACCACCATGCTATCCAAGTGTCCTCATGACAAGATTGCTCATGTCACCCCAGTGGCCCAACAGGAAACAGAGAGGACAGGGGAAAAGGCCACAGCAGACTTCCTTTGTGTGTGTGTGTGTGTTTGTGCCAGTACTAGGGCTTGAACTCAGGGCCTAGTGCTGTCCCTCAGCTTTTTCACTCAAGGCTGGTGCTCTACCACCTGAGCCACAGCGCCACTTCCAGTTTTCTGGTGTGGATCATTGGAGATAAAGAGTCTCACAGACTTCCCTTCCCGGGCTGGCTTCGAACCTGGCTTGCTTGCTCTGAGGAAGGTCTAGTGTGTCCTCTTCCCAGTGAGGGCTCAGCATCACCTAGCACAGGGCCAGGCACAGGATCAATGCTCTGTGGGAGGAACATAGAGACACCCGTGGCGATGCGTGGCGGTGCAGATCGGGGGTGGTCGTGGGCTGCCTGAGGCTGGGGGTCTCCCCTCACTCGGCTGTGTGTTTCCCCCCATCCCCTCTCCAGCATTTCTTCACTTCCTTTGGGGCCCGGGACCGTTGCTTTCTTCTCATCTTCCGCCTCTGGCAGAACGCGCTACTGGAAAAGGTGGGTGCTGGTAAGGCCCGGGCAGAGGGATTGGGGTGCCAACAGAACCTTTTTTTTTTTTTGGCGGTCGTGGGGCCTGAACTTTGGGCCTGGGCGCTGTCCCTCAGCTCTTCAGCTCAAGGCTAGTGCTCTACCACTTGAGCCACAGCGCCACTTCCGGTTTTCTGGTGGTTTATTGGAGATAAGAGTCTAAGGGTCTTTCCTGCCCAGGCTGGCTTTGAACCGAGATCCTCAGATCTCAGCCTCCTGAGTAGCTAGGATGACAGGCGTGAGCCACCAGCGCCCAGCTGTCCTTGAACTTTTGTACTCAAGGCTGGAGCTCTACCACTTGAGCCACAGCTGGACTTTTGGGATTTTGTTTTAGCTTTGGATTGTTATTTTAGAGGTGAGATACAGTGTGGTAACATTTACATACTTCAGGTAGTAAGTACATTCCTTTTGCAGTGTCATCTGTTCCCTCATTAGCTCCCCTGCCCTTCCTCCCATCTCCACCCATGGCTTACATAGTTCACTTTCACCAGTGTCCACTGCGCTGCTCTGCTGTACTTTTTCACCTTTTTCCTCGGATTCTGTGGCCTCTCCCCATCCGCCCACAAATGTGCACGCGAATGCACTGTAGATAAGGTAGAGAATACAGTCATCAGAAGAAAACAAATTTAAAAAATCCTTTGTTTCCATATCTTTGGAGTTCATTTCAGTATGTATATTGTTTTATATAAATATGAAGAGACGCTTGGGTATTGCACCTTTCTTTCTTTTTTTTTTTTTTTGGTCCTGTCATGGGGCCTGAACTCTGGGCCTGGGCGCTGTCCCTCAGCTCTTCAGCTCAAGGCGAGCGCTCTACCACTTGAGCCACAGTGCCACTTCCGGCTTTTTTCTTTTTGCTTATGTGGTGCTGAGGAATCGAACCAAGGCCCCAAGCAAGCAAAGCAAGCGCTCTACCACTAAGCCACCTTCCCAGCCCCTGTTGCACCTTTCTGATTCTCTCCTAAGACTATCCTCTTTTGGCCCCACTCTACGTGAGTATCTAGAATCCTGTGTAATTCATCATGTTCCAGTGTGTTTTAGATCTAACTTCCGCAGGGAGAACATGCCACTTTGGCTTTTTTTTTGGTAGTTGATTGGAGATAAGAGTCTAACAGGCTTTCCTTCCCAGGCTGGCTTTGAACTGTGATCCTCCAATCTCAGCCTCCCGAGTAGGTAGGATGACAGGCGTGAGCCTCCGGTGCCTGGCTTGCTTGGCTTTTTTGCTTAAGGCTGGCGCTCTACCACTTGAGCCACAGATCCACTTTTGGCTTTTTGGAAGTTCATTGGAGATAAGAGGCTCACAGGCTTTCCTGCCCAAGCTGGCTTTGAACTCTGACCTGCGAGATCTCAGACTCCTTAGTAGCTAGGATGACAGGCATGAGCCACCAGCACCGGCTCTCAGCATGAGCTTTGTAGAACTGTTTTGAACTTGTGTGAGAAATGTCTTCTCTCCCCGCTCCCTTTCCTAAGGGCTCAGTACATAGAGCTGTTGGGGCTCCTGACAGTTAAAACTGTGTCGTGTTGTCATCCTGCCATTCTGACTGTAGTTGACCCAGAGCCCCTGGGGGTCCTGAGGATGCCCGGAGGAATAGTTGGGGTCACAGCGGGGCGCTGGACAAAACAGCTTAGACCTTGGGATCATGGCCACTCCCACAGTCTTGACCGGATTGGAATCTCAGAGTTGAATCCATGGCTTTTCCCTTCCTGGGCCTCCATTTTTTGCTCTGGCCAGGGAGGTCATGCTGCCCTCTTGTGGACATCATGGGAACTGCTTGGACAAAGGCAACCTGGCTAGAAAAAACTGGCCTGGGCAGAAAACAGAAAAAAGAAAACTACAAGGAGCAAAGCCAACCTTCTACCATCTTGTCCTGTGTGTGCAGACACTGAGTCCCCGGGAACTGTGGCACCTGGTCCATCAATGCTACGGCTCAGAGCTGGGTCTTACCAGCGAAGACGAAGACTATGTCTGCCCTTTGCAGCTCAATGGACTTGGGTGAGTAGGTGGTGCGTGGCTATTCTGGGAATGGGGGTGCTGTGTACAGACCTCCTAGAGTCCTGGATAGACTCAAGAGGCTGAATGGGGCCAGGCACTGTTGGCTCCTATCTGTCATCCGCTGCTCAGGAGGCTGAGATCTAAGGATCACAGTTCGAAGCCAGCCTGGGAAGAAAGTCTATGAGGCTCTTTTTTTTTTGCCAGTCCTGGGGCTTGAACTCAGGGCCTGGCTGCTGTCCCTGAGCTTCTTTGTGCTCAAGACTAGTACTCTACCATTTGAGCCACAGCTCCACTTCTGGCTTTTTCTGAGTAGTTCATTGAAGTCTCATGGACTTTCCTTCCTGGGCTGCTTTTGAACAACAGTCCTCAGATCTTAGCCTCCTGAGTAGCTAGGATAACAGGCGTGAGCCACCAGCACCTGACTTTTTTTTTTTTCTTCAAATTTTTTATTGTGATTAAGTGATTACATAATTTCCCAAATTTCACAGTATTGTGGGATAGTGATGCTTAAAGTTAGAAACACATTTTAACTTTCATGGAGCAAATTGTCTATCATGTTCTATAGCATTTATGAGTTCTATGAGCTTTGTGATACAGTTATTTCTTCCACATTGGGTGGTATGTACATTTCGTTTGTTTTGCATAGCATCAGCTGTTCCCTCTTTCCCACTTGTTCCCTCCCTCCCATCGCTGCCACTGAGTTGCTTAGTTCATTTTGATCAATGTCCAGTGCAGCTGATGGGTTCCGCTGTTGTATGTTTTTCCCTGAATCCCTCTAGTTCTGTGTCCTCCTCCTGGCTTCCCTCTGGTGTGCACATATATACCATATATGTGATCAGCAGCATGGGGTTATTTAGTAGTGATCCGACCAGATGAGTGGAAGTCCTTTGTTTCTTAAGTCCTGCTAATTTTGTCGTATCACCTAACATTTTGGATTTAACATCCACTTATCAGGGAGACCGTGTGCCATTTGTCTCTTTGCTCTTGGCTTACCTCACTCAAGATGATTTCTTCTAGGTCCGTCCATCTCCCTGCAAATGCCATTATTTTTGTCCTTTCTAATGGCTGCGTAATATTCCATTGTGTATAGATACCACAATTTTTGGGTCCATTCATCGGTGGCAGGACATCTGGGTTGTTTCCATATCCTGGCTATTGCGGCACCTGACTTCTATGAGACTTTTATCTCCAGTGAATCATCACAAAGCCAGAGGTGGAAGAGCACTAGCCCTGAGCAAAAAAATGCATAGCAACAAACCCAGGCCATGCCCGGTTCAAGCCACAGGACTGGCACCCCCCAACCCCTCCCCCCAAAAGCTATGTAGTGTCTCAAGGAGCAGAAATGTCACTTCCTTCTTTCTCCCCCACAGCAGCCCCAAGGAGGTGGGAGATGTCATCGCTCTGAGTGACATCGCTCCCTCCGGGGCCACCGACCGCAGCCAGGAGCCCAGCCCCGTGGGGTTACGTCGCGGCCGAGTCACTCCCAACCTTTCCCGAGCCAGCAGTGACGCAGACCATGGGGTGAGCAGGAGGGCGCTCATGGGGTGACGGTGGAATTAGGGGCCCAGTGACAGAGGCCAGAACAGAGGAGCATCATTGAGGGGCAGGAGTGGGCGGGGAATAGATGAAGATAGGAAGATGGCAAGAAAATGAATGTAAATAGGAAAAGACATGGACAAAACAGGGGAAAGAGAGGCTGGGAAGGTGGCTCAGTGGTAGAGGGCTTGCCTCGCATGCGTGAGGCCCTGGGTTTGATTCTTCAGCCCCACATAAGCAGAAAAAAGCCGGAAGTGGCGCTGTGGCTCAAGTGGTAGAGTGCTAGCTTTGAGCTGAAGAGCTGAGGCGCTGGTGGTTCATGCCTGTCATCCTGAGGCTGAGATCCGCGGATCACTGTTCAAACCCAGCCTGAACAGGAAAGTCTGTGAGATTATCTCCAATAAAAACTCCTCAGGGGACTGGGAAGGTGGCTCAGTGGTAGAGTGCTTGTCTAGCATGCATGAAGCCCTGGGTTCGACTCCTCAATACCACAGAAACAGTAAAAGCCAGAAGTGGCGCTGTGGCTCAACTGTTAGCGTGCTAGCCTTGAACAAAAGCAGCTCAGAAACAGTGCCCAGGCCTTGAGTTCAAGCCCCAGGACTGGCTGAGAAGCTGGGCGCTAGGGTGGGCCTTACAAGGAACTTGGAAGGGACGGATGAAGCCTTCTATGTAGGTGGAGGAAGACAAGGAAGAGCAAACGGACAGCCAGCCAGACGCCTCCTCCAGTCAGACAGTGACGCCAGTCACAGAGCCCCCCAGTACAGAGCCCGCCCCACCTGAGAACCTCAGCACCCTGGGCCCCTTGGATCTGCTGCCTAGAGACGAGCTATTGACAGACACGAGCAACTCCTCTTCATCCACGGGGGAGGAAGGTGAGGCCCGCGTGAACCGAATGGCTTTTTCTCTCAGTTATCCCAGGGCAAACTTTACTTACGAGGGTTAAATGGTGCCTTGTAAGACTCCAAACACAAAAGGAGCAAGTCCAGGCGTCGGTGGCTCCCGCCTGGCATCCTACCTACTCAGGAGGCTGAGATCTGAGGATCGCACTTCAAAGCCAGCCTAGGCAGGAAAGTCCGGGAGGCTCATCTCCAGTGAACCACCAGAAAACCGGAAGTGGTGCTGTGGCTCAAGTGGTAGAATGCTCACCTTGGGCTGACGAGCTGAGGGACAGCGCCCAGGCCCAGAGTTCAGGCCTCATGCCCGACAAACAAAAAGAAAAGAAAACAAAACAAAACAGCAAAGGCAGACATTGGGGTGCAAATCCTGGCTCATGTGTCTCATTCTGTGATGTGAACATGATTTAACCTCTCTGAACACTGATTTTTTTTTTCCTCATCTAGAAAAATGGAGGTAGACCTTAATAATGATCACTCCATGGCTGGGCACTGGTGGTTCACACCTGTAATCCTAGCTACTCAGGAGGATCGTGGTTCAAAGGTAGCCTGAGCAGGAAAATCCTTGAGCCTCCTATCTCCAGTGAACCAGCCAGAAGTGTTGGTGTGGTAGAATGTGAACCTTGAGCAAGTAAACCAAGCAAGAGTGTAAAGCTTTGAGTTCAAGATCCTATATCCATAGGATTGTTAAGAAAAGCAAATGAATTCGTAAAGTATGCCTAAAGCTCTTGAGCCAATTATTGTTTTTAATTTTCTCTGTACCATCTAATTTGGGGTACCCTTTATTCTAACTGAGACAGGGCAAGCCCGAGCCCCGGGCTTTTTGCCAGTGGCTATAGCCAAAAACAAAACAAAAAAAACCCAAACCACATCCCCTAGAGTTGGCTCTGATTGGTTCCACTTGCAGAAGGAGCTCAACTCTGAGCCAATCACTATGACTGATTGGCCCAGCCTGGGTTACACCACACTTCTGGTCCAATCCCATGGCCACCCTTATGATCACACGAAAGTGATTGGCCAGGATGATGTGCGTCTGTGTGTGTGTGTGTGTGCGCGCCCGCGCACGTGCTCCCACCCAGAACCATCATGATGTGGCTCTGATTGGCTGGCTGGAGGGACAATGTGGTCACTTTCAACCAATCCTGTATCCGAGGGGCTGGATAGTGCTCTGTGCTCCAGAAAGTTGGGTCTGCTCAAAGAGAGATACAGGGGAGGGAGAGAGAGAGGAGGAGGAGGAGGAGAGAGAAAGAGAGAGAGGGCGAGGGAGAGGTAAAGAAAGAGAGAGAGAGAGACGAATGAGACCCCAAATACTGAGGGCCTCCCCACCCCCTTGTGTGTGTCTCCCAGCTGACCTGGCTGCTCTGCTTCCTGACCTCTCTGGCCGGCTCCTCATCAACTCGGTCTTCCACGTGGGTGCTGAGCGGCTTCAGCAGATGCTCTTCTCCGACTCGCCCTTCCTGCAGGGCTTCCTGAAGCAGAGCAAGTTCACAGGTCAGTATCGTGGGCTTTCCCTGAAAAATCACTGTGTTGGGGTACACACACACACACAAGTCCCATAAAGGTATTTTTTTCCCTGAAAAATCACTGTGTTGGGGTACACACACACACATACACACACACACACACACACACACACACACGAGTCCCATAAAGGTATTTTTTTTTTCCCCCTTGGTTGGTTATCGGGTTTGAACTCAGGGCCTGGACGCTGTCTCTGACTTCTTTTGCTTAAGGATCAAGCTGTTTCGCTCTGCCACTTTGAGCCACAGCTCTACTTCTGGTTTTCTAGTGGTGCATTGGAGTCTCACACAGATTTTCCTGTCTGGGCTGGCTTTGCACCATGATCCTCAGAACTCAGCCTCCTGAGTAGCTGAGATGACAGGTGTGAGCCACCAGCGCCCCGGCTCACAGAACATTCTTTTTTTTTTTTTTCTGTCAGTCGTGGGACTTGAACTCTAGGCTTGGGCGCTGTCCCTGAGCTCTTCAGCTCAAGGCTAGCACTCTACCACTTGAGCCACAGTGCCACTTCCAGCCTTTTCTGTTTATGTGGTACTGAGGAATCGAACCCAGGGCCTCATGCATGGGAGGCAAGCACTGTACCACTAAGCCACGTTCTCATCCCTCACAGAGCATTCTTATATCCTGTAGTTTTATATGGGGCCACTTGTGAGCAAGAGAAGGTGGGGGTCCCCCATAAGAGTGAGGGGTCCAGGGAAATGTGTTCCATGTCCTCTGGTCTGATACTCTGGAGAGAAGCAGGGACTTGTTCAGAGACAGAAACAGATTGAGCCGAGTGCCTGTGCCTCATGCCTATAATCCTAGCTACTCAGGAGGCTGAAATCTGAGGATCAAGGTTCAAAACTAGCCCGTGCAGGAAAGTCCATGAGACTCTTATCTCCAATAAACCACCAGAAAATGAGAAGTGGTGTTGTGGCTCAAGTGGTAGAGCGCTAGCCTTGAGCTGAAGAGCTGAGGGACAGTGCCCAGGCCCAGAGTTCAAGCCCCATGACTGACAAAAAAAGAAAAAGAAAAACTGAGACTGAGGGGTTGGGTGAGGTAGACCCTGGAGAGACCAGAGATCTTAGCCAGAACTATTATTCATGTTTAAAGTTTTTAGCCCAGTGCTCAGATTCATGCCTGAGCATGAATTCCAACTATTCAGGAGGTTGAGATCTGAAGATCATGGTTCAAAGCCAGTCTGGGCAGGAAGAGGGAGCGTTTTCAGACTCCTTAGAAGAAACATGTAACATAGAGCCAAGTGGGGACATGAAGAAGGTGGGCAGCGACAAGTCCACAGAGAACTGACGTCCAGGCCCTCCCCAAAACTAAAAGGCTGCCAGCACTGGTGGCTCCCGCCTGTCATCCTAGCTACTCAGGAGGCTGAGCTATGAGAATCACAGTTCCAAACCAGCCCAGGCAAAAAGGTCGGTGAACAGCAAAAAAGCCAGAAGTGTAGGTGTGGCTCAAAGTGGTAGAGCCTTGAGTTCAAGGACAGCACCCAGGCCCTGAGTTCAAGGCCCAGGACAGACAAAATAAAAGGCCCAGCCTCCTACAGAGAATATTTTTCTCATTCTGCTTCTTTCTCCTCTCCAGATGTGACCTTGAACCCCTGGAGCGGGGATGCAAAGTGCCACCAGCGTCGGGTCCTGACCTACACCATTCCCATCAGCAACCCTCTGGGCCCCAAGAGTGCCTCTGTGGTGGAGACGCAGGTGGGCGGGGCCGGTGGGAAGAGGGAGGGGCCTGGTGGCAGGGGCGGGGTCTTGGAGGTGGGTTGGGCAGGGTGATAGCTTGGGCGGGGAAGGCGTGGCTTGGCAGGGGAGGGCGGGGCCTGGAGGCAGGGGCGGGGTAATAGCTTGGGAGGGGAAGGCGTGGCTTGGCAGGGGAGGGCGGGGCCTGGAGGTAGTCTGGCCAGTGGCTGGGTGATAGCTTGGGTGGGGTGGGTGGGGCTTGGAGGGGAGCCCGGGACAGGGCCCGGTGGCTTGGCCAGCTTGGCCAGCCCTGTGGTGGTGGCTCGGGTGCAGTGGCCCTGACCTTCCTCCCCTCCCTTTTCCTGTCCTTGCAGACGCTGTTCCGCCGGGGCCCGCAGGCGGGCGGGTGCGTGGTGGACTCCCAGGTGCTGACGCAGGGCATTCCCTACCAGGACTACTTTTATACCGTGCATCGCTACTGCATCTTGGGCCTGGCCCGGAACAAGGCCCGGCTGCGGTGAGCCACAGCCAGGCCCGGCTACCCCGTGCTCTCCTCGCCTCACCCCCATTTGATTCCCAACGCTGCCAGGTGTGATGACTGCCTGTCATCCTAGCTACTCAGGAGGCTGAGATCCGAGGATCTGGGTTCAAAGCCAGCCCGGGCACGAAAGTCCGGGAGACTCTGATCTCCAATAACCACTAGAAAACTGGAAGTGGCGCTGTGGCTTAAGCTGTCGAGCACTCGCTTTGAGCTGAGGGACAGAGCCCAGACCCAGAGTTCAAGCCCCACGACCAACAGAAAAAAAAAACAACCAAAAAACTCAGGGACAGCACCCAGGTCTTCAGCTATGCCTTTGGACCAGCACAAAAATAAAAAGAACGGTGGGACCCTCTGAATAGCAAAGGGGAGACAGAGGGTCCTGAGGGCACCACCTCCCCGCAGAGGGAGTTCTCAGTGAGATTCATTTGTTCAGCTGTTTATTGAGCATCTACTAGGTGATCCACATATTCCAGACCCTAGAGACAAAATCTCTAGTCTCAGAGCGCTCAGACTTAATAGTGGGAAATTGGCTGGAAAGAAAAAGATGATGTAAACTGGATGCTGGTGGCTCACACCTGGCTTCCTAGCTACTCAGGAGGCTAAAATCTGAAGATAGTGGTTCTAAGCCATCCAGAGCAAGATAGGCTGTGAGACTATCTCTAATGAACCACCCAAAAGCCAGAAGTGGAATTGAGGCTTCACTGGTAGAGCTACATCCTTGAGGGAGAAAGCTCAGGCTAGCACCTAGGCCCTGAGTTCAAGCCCCAGTACACACACACACACACACACACACACACACACACACACACACAGAGCAGTTGGATTCTCTTTAAGTTTTGTAAGTCGAGCCAACAGCTAGCTGAGATTGGCTTCATGGTGCGTTGGTAGGAAGGCATGGGGGGGGGCAGCACCAAGTTCACGGTCATCTGTCCTGAGCCTCTGGCAGGATGAGCTCCCATCTTGGCCACCTTGGGAGATGATGGGGAACACATTGAACCCCACCATAGCCCATCCCCATATAGGACTGCGGGGGGGGTCAGCAGCCAGGTGGGGAAGAGGCTTGGGGGGCTGAGTCAAGCCAGCGAGTGTGTGGGCACCAGAGAGGTGAGAAGTGGGGGTCCAGAAAAGCCACTGGGGCGAGTCAACAGAACCCCTGCCCCCATTTTGCCTGTTTGTGACAAAGGGGCCTCTGAGTCCTGGGAAGGAGGGTCCTACTGGGGGTGGGGAACAGTCCCCCGTCCTCACCCCCAGATCCTGTTCTGTGTCACCAGGGTGTCCTCAGAAATCCGCTACCGGAAGCAGCCATGGAGCCTGGTGAAGTCGCTCATTGAGAAGAATACCTGGAGTGGCATTGAAGAATATTTCCACCATCTTGGTAGGCGATCACAGGCCAGCGGGGGAGTGGGGGGAGGGGGATGGCTTGGCTGGGGACAGACATCCAGAACCTTCTCTATTTATTTTAGATTTATTTATTTATTTATTTATTGTCGGTCTTCAGGCTTGAACTCTGGGCCTGGGCGCTATCCCTCAGCTCTTCAGCTCAAGGCTAGTACTCTACCACTTGAGCCACAGCACCACTTCCGGTTTTCTGAGTGGTTTAATTGGAGATAAGAGTCCCAGAGTTTCCTTCCCCAAGCTGGCTTTGAACCATGATCCCTAGATCTCAGCCTCCTGAGTAGCTAGGATGACAGGTGTGAGCCACCAATGCCTGGCTTTCTTTATTTTATATGTGCCAGTACTGGGATTTGAACTCAGGACCACATGCTCTAGTCTTTTTTTTTTCTTTTGCTCAAGGCTGGTGTTCTACCACTTGAGCCACACCTACACTTTTAGCTTTTTTTTTTTTGTCAGTCATGGGGCTTGAACTCTGGGCCTGAGCACTGTCCCTCAGCTCTTCAGCTCAAGGTGAGCGCTCTATCACTTGAGTCACAGTGCCACTTCCGGTTTTCTGAGTGTTTATTGCAGATAGGAGTCTCATGGTCTTTCTCCAGGGCTGGCTTTGAACCGTGATCCTCAGATCTCAGCCTCCTGAGTGGCTAGGATTACAGGTGTGAGCCACTGGCACCCAGCCAATTTTAGCTTTTTGTTCGACGGTTTCTCAGAGATGAGTCTCATGGACTTTTCTTCTCTGGGCTGGCTGCAAAACCACCATCCTCCAATCTCAGCCTCCTGAGTAGCTAGGATTACAGGTGTGCGCTACTATACACGGCCATTGAAGGATTTTTCTCTCTCTGACCCACACAGAGCGAGAGCTGGCCAAGGCGGAGAAGCTGTCCCTGGAGGAAGGTGGCAAGGACACTCGGGGACTGTTGTCTGGTCTCCGGAGGCGGAAGCGCCCCCTGAGCTGGAGGGGACATGGAGATGGGCCCCAGCACCCGGACACTGACCCTTGTGCCCGGGCTGGCATGCACACCTCGGGTGAGTTTCAGTCAGGACAGATGGAGGAGCTGGGAGGGCAGAGGGACCGAGCGGGGGTGGGGGGGCTGGGGGGAGGGGGTGCGGGGGACTGTGCTAACCCTGAGTTGTTTTCTCCCATAGGCTCCCTCAGTTCCCGCTTCTCAGAACCACCCATAGACCAGGGTCCTGGGGCAGGCATCTCCAGCGCCCTGTTTCTTATCAGCATTGTGTGAGTACCGGCAGCTGGGCTGTGTGGCCTTGGATAAGTGCTGGGCCTCTCTGGGCCTCTCTGCTCACCTGGGAAGAGGGGCTGGCCAGCCTCACAGGATGTTGCAAACACACCGGAGAATAGTTGCTCAGTTTGTCTTGTAGAAGGTGGAGATTGAGGGAGCAGTCGTGGTGTTGGGGCTCAAGTGGTAAGAGCACCAGCCTTGAAGGAAAAAGCTCAGGGATAGCGTCCAGGACTGGCACAGAAAAAGTAGGTTTGGAGGTGTGGTTCAGGTGGTAGAGCGCCAGCCAATGAGAGCTCTGGCCCTCTCAGATGGGCCAGGGTACCCAGAGAAGCCTGGTCTAGCCTCGTACCCAGGGCTAGAGGAACAAGGTTCGAGCATGCAGCATTAGCCAGGTGAACTGAGCGCTGATGGCTCACGCCTGAAATCCTCGCTACTCTGAGGATCGAGGCTCAAAGCCAGCCCAGGCAGAAAAGGCCCTGTGAGACTCTTACCTCCAATAAACCACCAGAAAACCTGAAGTGGCGCTGTGGCTCAAGTGGTAGAGCACTAACTTTGTGCACAGAGAGGCTCAGGGAAACTGAGTTCAAGCCCTAGAACTGGAAAAAAAAAAAAAAAAGAGTCAAGTGAATGGAGAGAGGTAAGGCCCCCAGATCAGACCTGGGGCTTGAACTCAGGGCCTAGGCGCTGTCTCTGAGCTTTTTTGATTCAAGGCTGAGCCACACCTTCACTTCAGGCTTTTTTGCTGGTTCATTGGAGATAAAAGAGCCTCACAGAATTTCCTACCCAGCGGGCTGGCTTCGAACTGTGATCCTCAAGATCTCAGCCTCCTGAGTAGCTGGGATTATACTGGTGCCTGATCGGTGGTGCCTGGCAAAGTCAGGGTCCTTTGAGGGAAGACGAGTCAGATTCCCTAGGCTGGAAGCACCCCTCAACTTCATACCCTCAACTACACCGGGCCTCAGTTTCCCCGAGACCAGCAGTTTCAGTAGTCTGCTGGTTGGAATCTGCCTCTGGGGTTGCGGGAGGGCTGGCCGGTGCTCACCTCTTTGCTTTCCCCTCTTCCCTGCTGCTACTCCAGGATCTGTGTGAGGTAGGGTCCCCCCTCCCCACCCTCCCCTCTGTGTGTTTCATCCTCCCAGAAGCCCCCTTACTACTCCCCTCCCCCCGCCCCGCCCCAGATGGGTTTGGGTGAAAACCTTGGCTTTTCTGCTTCTGGGCTGTGTGGCCCTAGGCAGATAACTCACCCTCTCTGAGCTGCAGTTCATGCCGCTGAAAAGGGCCAAGTGTTGATTGTATTGGGGTCGGGGGAGGGAGACTGAGGACCCCCCCAATCCCCCAAACTCCTCACCTCTGATTCCCCATCCTCAGCCTCATCGTCCTCATCGCCCTCAATGTACTCCTCTTTTACCGTCTGTGGTCCTTGGAGCGGACAGCTCACACGTTCCAATCCTGGCATAACCTGGCTCTAGCCAAGGGGTAAGTAGTGGGAGGGGGTGTAGGGGCGAGGAGGGGGGGGTCAGTGCTCATCGTGGGGGAAACCGAGGTGGCACAGCTCAGACCCTCTGTCCCGCACAGGAAATTCCCCCAGACGGCCACGGAGTGGGCTGAGATCCTGGCCCTGCAAAAGCAGTTCCACAGCGTCGAGGTGCACAAATGGAGGCAGATTCTCAGAGCTTCTGTGGAGCTCCTGGATGAGGTACAGGCCGGGGTGGAGAGCCGTGGGACCCTGGGGTTCAGATGCTTCTGCTCTTTGGGCCTCTGTTTCCCCTGCTGTCAAATAGAAGAATCAGTCTCTATGTTGGGTGGTTTTCCTAATGAGACCTAAAAGAATGTGCATGTAGCGCATGCCTGTAATCCCAGCTACTCAGGAGACTGAGAGCTGAGGATTATGGATCCCAGCTAGTCCAGACGTGAGACTCTTACCTCCAGTGAACCAGCAGAAAGTCAGAAGTGAAGCTGTGTGCTAACCTTGAGTAAAAAAGTGATCCTCCAAGCTCAGCCTTCTGAGGAGCAGGGATTATAGGCGTGAGCCACCAGCCTCTGCTGTCTTTGGGAAGATGAAGGGGGACAGGCGACTTTGCTGCCCAGAGAGTGTTGGGATGAGCTCACCCCCACGTTCTTCCCCGCAGATGAAATTCTCCCTGGAGAAACTGCAGCAGGGCATCTCTGTCTCGGAACCTCCGTTCGACCCGCAGCCGCAGACGGATGATGGCTTCTCCTGAGAGCCTCCGGCCGAACAGCCGTCGCCTCCAAAATGGACAAAAGGACACACCACACCACAGAGTGAACCCCCCGGCCGCCACTGCTGGCCCAGTGTGAGGGCTGGAACTCTCCCGCCCGCCCCTCCCAGTGGCCCGACCATGGGGGCCGTGCCGAAGCGGGGAGCCACCGAACCCAACGCAACCGGCCTGCCCAGCTGGAGAGCTGGCCTGGCCTTTGGCAGGCCCTGACTAACTTATTTTACCCAGCTGGGGTTTGGAGGGGCTGGGTGGGGGGAGTACCCCTGGGTACCCGCGTCCCTCAGCTCTGGGGTTAATAATGTATTATATTTATTTGGGGCCACAGAGCTCTAATAAAGGGTTAGAAATGGCTGTGGCTTTGCCTTCGGGGTCCCAGGAATGGGAGGAGGATGGGCGTCATGCTCAATCTTGGGGTGGTGGGAAGAAGGCACAGTTTGCCGGGCATCAGGGGTTCCCCAATTGTCACCCTAGCTACTCAGGAAGCTGAGATCTGAGAATTGCAGTTCAAAGCCAGCCTAGGCAGGAAAGTCCATGAGACTCTATCTCCAAGGGATGGCTGTGGTTCAAGGGGTAGAGCGCCACCTTGGAGGAAAAATCCATACTCAGGGGTGGCGCCAGGCCCTGAGTTCAGGCTCCAGGACAGACAGAAAAAAGGAAAAGCAAGCTACGATGGTGGAAATTCAAGGCTTGAATAATTCAAGGCCTGTGTGAGCAAATGTCGCTCCCGATAATAGGCCCACAGCAGACTCGAAAAAGTTAAGCTTATTTTAGAGAAATTGAGAGGGGGAAAAAAAAAAACTCATACATAATGGCTGTGCCGAGTAGCTCCAGCACTGACAGTATGTTATTTCTGCCCCACACACTGGCACGCACGCTTGTAATCCCAGCTACTCAGGAGGCTGAGATCTGTTCAAAGCCTGCCTGGGCAGGGGTCCAAGAGACACCTTGGGCTTTTTTTTGCTGGTTCACTGGAGATAAGAGTTTCACAGCCGCCGGGCGCTGGTGGCTCACGCCTGAAATCCTAGCTACTCAGGAGGCTGAGATCTGAGGATCGAGGTTCAAAGCCAGCCCGGGCAGGAGAGACCATGAGACTCCTATCTCCAATAAACCACCAGAAAACTGGAAGTGGCACTGTAGCTCAAGTGGTAGAGCGCTCGCCTTGAGCTGAAGAGCTGAGGGACAGCGCTCAGGCCCAGAGTTCAAGCCCCACGGCCGACAAAAAAGAGTTTCACATCCTTTCCTGCCCCAGCTTGGCTTAGAACCACAACCCTCAAGATCTCAGCTTCCTGAGTAGCTGGGATTACAGGCGTGCACTACAGCCTCCATCTTGTAAGCACCATCTTTAGGGATGGCGGAAGGGAGTGAATCACTGGCGGCAGAGGAAGGTAGAGCCGGCTTTCTACCCTCTGAGCTGTGTGCCTCGGTTGCCTGTGCCCGTGAACTGGGGATAGTGATCAATGCTCCCCCTCTCCCCGCGCCCCCTAGAAGATGAACCAGCAGCATGTTAGTAACTTGGTGACCTCCAGCCCAAAGGGCTGTTAGGAAGCGGGTGCCCCCCTCTCTCCTGCCCCCTGGCCATCCAAGCTGTGTTTCCACCTACCATCCCCCACCCTGCCCCAGAGAAAGGTCTGGTTCGTCCTCAGGGTTATTTTCCACAGCTCAGGAGGTGCTGGATTAAGGGCCTGAGCTAGGAGGTGTGGTGTGGTGTCCTTGGCACTGGGCCCCTCTGCCCTGGGCCTGCCATCCCCCCCCCTCCCCCACATCTTGGTTCCTTTTGCCCTTGGGCTGGCTGGGCCAGGGGAATTCTGGGACGGTAACCCATCCAGCATTGGCGAGCTGAGAGTCTCACATCCCCCAGCGTGCACTTGCCAACCCATTCCCTGTCCTGCCAGGAGACAGGCAGCCGCCATCAATGCTGGGCTGGCCAGGCCAGCTACCTGACCCCTCGGGGAGGGAGAAGCGTCCCCCAGCCTCAGTTTCTTGCTGTAGAAAACGAAAGATTGAGCCAGGTGCTGGAGGCTCCTACCTGTAATACCAACTCTGGAGGCTGAGATCTGAGGATCTGCAGGAAAGTCCCTGAGCCTCATGTCCAGTGAACCAGAAAACCAGAAGTGGCTTCCAGTGGTAGAGCAAGAGCTTGGGGACACAGCAAACAGGCCCTGAGTTCAAACCCCAGGAAGGAAGGAAGCGAAGCAAGTGGACCACGGAGGCCATAGAAATGGGTTTGAGGGAACCCGAGGGGGCTCAGGCTGTTCATTTGGGAAGCAGGCCGAGTCTGGGAATCTGGTGCTCTCCCAGGGCTGGGGGGACAGGCAGTGAGGCCTATAGAAGAACATACATCGGGAGTGGCGGTGGACGCCTGCAATCCCAGCACTGTGGGAATTCCAAGACTATCCATGGATAAAGGCGGCAGGATGATGAGTTCCAGGGCAGCTGGTCCTGCAGAGGGGAGGAGGGAGGGAGCGAGGGAGGGATCAGGTTGGAAAGACACCCTCTATCCTGAACGACCACGGCCACCTGGCTGCAGAGAGCTAACAGAGACTCCTGGTCACCTGGGGGACAAAGGGGAGCCCAAGCAAGAAGTTGTACAAAGGCCTCTGGTGCTGAGGTGGGGGGGGGGGCAGGTAGCCTAGAGGGGGAGGGGCAGATGACGTCATTCTCAGGGGGGGCCTGTGGGGATCTTGGGAGTGACGGGCACCTCCAGTCCCAGGGTGACCTCTGGGGGGGGACTCTAGGGTACTTTTTCCTGTTTGTATACTGTGTGGCCCCCACCCCCAGGCCTCAGGGATGGGGAGGGGAGGGGGGGAAGGGGGAAGGGAGGGGAG